GCCTCTGGCCTAATCACAGCCATGCTGATATAGAGCCGGTATCGCTCTCGTACTCGAGTGATATTGCTCATATAGTTTTGATAAGTTAATTTTTTTTCTCTTTTTTAATAGATATTTTCAATGTGATTATATTTATGTTGTCCAAAATATATTTAAAAATACATTTTGTATCCGTATTTTAAGGTTGGAAATATATTTTCTTGTCCCATGAAGAACATTTTCTAACTTTTTCTAATAATAAAGCAAATCTCTCCTGTGAACTGCCAAAATACAGACCGCATGTTACTTAACACATTCATTCATTATTCTCGTGATTGTGGTGTAAGTGTAGCAGCCCAAAAAAGGCCCGTTTATAGCAAACACCCTACACCCAAACTCATCTTCTGGAACACTGAGGAATGAAAACATCAATGGAAGATGATGGCTGCTCAGTCTTTGCACCCATGAGTAAAGGTCTGACCAAAGGAGAAAAAAACGTTCTTACTGTTAAAACAAACAAACAAAATACATTCACTTGGTAAGACAAAGGCTGCATCCGAAATCGTGTATTTCCTGAGTAGGGGCTTATTTTGTGGTATGAACATGATCTAGACATGCTACATTCACCATGCTGCCATTATCAAGTTACCTACAGTGTCAGTTGTATATCTTCTCTGCCAACTCCTCTCCTGTGGCATCATGGGATAGAAAAGAGTTCATTGGATACGCGCTTGAGAATCTTGCCAGTAGCAGTAGGTCATCTGGGTCCTTTTGCCTACCGTTTTAAGAATACTGTGAATTCAGACATAATACTATGTAGTAGGGCTGTATGCATATGTTTTTTCTTGTTTCAAAACTGCATTTTCTAAGTTGATCTTGGGGGAAACAGAATTTTTCGTAATGGAAAAAGGTGAAAAAGACGTAGTATTAAATGTATTAAAAATATACTTGAAATTCAAGTAGTATGTTTATAATACATTTGTATTCCCAACATGCTTATTTGAAGTGCAATAAAAATATATTGAATTGCATTTTAATATATTTCTAAAAAGTATACTAGAAATACTTTTGTATTAAATATATGCTAGTTATACTTCTAAGAAATATGCTAAACAGAAGCATACTTTTAATGTATTTATAAAAAAGTATACTAGAAATACTTTGGCAATAAATATATTTTTAGTTACACTTTTAAGGGATATACTAAACACAAGCATACTTTTAGTGACTTTTTAGAAGTGGTTCCATTTTAACACAATTTCAATATATTAAATATATTACAAATAGATTAAAATTCAACTTAAACATATCTTGAAATACACTTAATATACTTAAAGTTGTTTCAAAATAATACATTTAATATGCACTTAGTATAGTATAATTTAAATATAGTAAGTATGTCTGAAAAAGCACAATTTAAATATATTTCTTTTTCACCTGGGTTAAATACAGCATAGGAGTAAAATGTGTTCAGATGAGATGAGAATGTATATGAATGTAATGTGATTCTGATTTCTAAAAAGGCAATGCTCTTTGCATGCACTAATAAATAACAAAAAATATTTACAGACAAAACTGTCCTGAGACAAGAATTTATGGGAACTTAGTAAATGACAAAGATATATGACAGACAAATATATCATGAAATATATCTAAATATCTTAGATATTACAGGATTATGTCATATAGCGTGTAAGAGTGAAATAACCATACCGATTTTTCTCATTAAGCATATATTTCCATTAAGACAAAACACAAAAGTATTGAGTTAGTAAAAGGTCCAAACTCATTACAGACCATATAAAGATTCAGTGACATCACACTGTGAGAACCGAACAGAACATTCAAACTAAGAAATACAGAAACCTGTGAGAGCAGCATTCCAACCCTCATCTTCACCACACATTGTAGTCTTTTAAGGGGTTCCTTCTGTTAGCCTTTAATGTGTAAAGATTTAAAGCCTGATACAACTTCCTGTACATGCCTCATTAGTGTGTACTTACGTTTACTGATACTGAAGTAACAAAAAACCTGTTAGTCCAAAACATCCATGCACGTTCCAGAGAACTTACAGAATATCAAACAAAGTATAATCTCCATTTGCAATATACAAAGCATTTTACACTTAACATTTAGTGCCTTAATATCACCTTTGAGAAAGAATAATTCTCATTTCTGCACCTTATAAAAATTTGTGACTGTGCAAATTACTAGACTTCGCAATGTAATTTACAATTTATACAGGCCTTTTGATGTATTCCATTTAAATAAAGAAATAATAACAAAACATAAAAATATAATGAAGTATTATACTGAACATCCACTAAAACATTGTTTTTTCTCCAAAGAATAAATTATACATAATTCAACCCATCATAGGCTCTGACCAGAAGACAGTTGCTTCCCTTCACATTCTCGAGGAACTTGATTTAAATGTACATTTTACAACATTATCTCCATAAAACCTAATCAGCATCCATAACTACATACATTTTGGGTCCTGCCCAAGACAGACAATCAGACATCACTCATATTTTGTCCATAAGTAAATACACTACAGAAGTTTGAGTTGAACTACACCACATTAATATTGGCACTTATTTCCTGATACCCGTGTGACATTACATGTTTAATGATCCACATTTGTCATTTAAATGCCATTATTGTGATTATGTGCAGTTCCCTTTACATAACAAATTTCCCTTTATATGCCTTAATGTTATAAATTCATTGTTCACAGTTTATGAGCATTAGTTTCACCAGGTAATGTGCTCGCAATTTCTTTTACCCATAAGAGAATGAGACAATTGTGATGTCTCTACAGTGCACATTTTTGTTTGTCTATTATTTGTTTGTTTGTCTTTTTGGCTCCTCTTATGAAGGGCTGTTAGACCGGTTATGTTCCCCTGCTCATTGTCCAGGGGTATAATGCTTTCACATTTGCACTCTTACATCTAACATTAAGTGAATGCCATTCTAGAAGATTTAGCAATACAAAAGTCATAATTTTGGCACTTAATCACATGAAGACATCTATTGGACAATATTATTTTATACATGTAATTTACAACATATTTCACATGAACCTTTAGGTTTGTCAGGTAAAACTAACAACAAGGCTTCAGTTTGTCAACATCAGTTATATATCATTGTATAAATTAACAGTAATGTATTATGAACAAATATGAATAGGATTAACAGTTGTATATTTATAAAAAAACATTAACTTACTATAATAAATGCTATAAAAGTGGTTGTAATGCATTAATAAACAAATTCATTATTATTAACTTCAAACCAACTTTAAACTTGCTTCCAGCTAAAATACAAGTCCTATATCCATATTGCTTTTTCCAGCGAAAAAGTCTGAATCAGAAGAGAAATACTCTCAGATCAAGCATTGTTTACAAGCGAAAACAGTTCTAAACATAGGAAAGACTTTTTCATGGGAGAAAGCATATTATGGAATATGGACTGGTATTTTTGGCCAGAAGCGACACCCATTAACAACAGAGGATCCACTGATGAGCAAGTGATGTAATGATGCATTTCTCCAAATCTGTTCTGATGAAGAAACAAACTGATCTACTGTACATCTTGGATGGCCTGAGGGTGAGTATGTTTTATTTCTGAGTGAACTATTCCTTTAACTCAAATTGAACCTTATTATAAAGTGTTGCCACTAATCTCAAGACACAAGACCATCCTCTCAGTACAGCTGTGTCTACAATGTCTGAATGAACTTTAGACTTTTTCAACAGATACAGCTGCCACATTTCCGACTATGTTAGGTTTAACATGCCGTCCCCCTCGGATAAACTCTTCTGCATTGTCTTTCTCCAGTAGGTTTATTCCCTTCATTAGTATTCCACTTCCCAAAAAGCAGCTATTCAAAGGACATGAGGTTTGCTGGTATCTGCAGAAAACAATGTGACATTCCTATTAATTACACATAATTGCTTATTTGAGATTTTTGGTTTCAGGATATACTTACTTGTGGTCTTGTACTCCTGCACGCCTCGGCTAAATGTCTGTGCCAGATAATCGCAGAGAAACGTGATCCAGTCTGGAACTTGTAAACATTACCTGAACCACAGATTAAAACAACTGAACCTGTATGGGTTTATTCAAATGAAGTTGTGTGACATTGCAAATCCACCATTTCTAAAGCCAAAAAGTAATTTGTTGAATCAAATCTATTTGTCAATAACACATTTTTTTATGATAAATATTTTAGTGTTTAAACAAACCATCTGGACTCGGTCATCCTTCAGTAGAAGACCATTTATATACACATAAAGGTCTGCATGAAGCCAGTGCTTACAGATCAAGATAATGCTGTTTGACTCAAACTATTTGCTGGAAATTAATTGGGATTGTCACGATACTGTGTCGATGAACACGCACGAAGATGAAGAAGATGATAAACAGTCTTTAATATATCCACATACAAGTAAATCCACACAAGGAGAGGCTGGAGACAGACGTAACATTAACAATACCCGACAAACTCAAACAGAACAGATAGGAACTTAAATACACACACCAATCGGGTAATTAACAGGACACCTGAAACTAATGATGAACTCAAATCAATAACCATGACAACAAACGAACTGAGTTGGAACAGTGAAAACACAAACAAAGTCCATGTGGTGTGACAGGGATATTATAGAACATTTTGCTCTTCATTTAAACAGCAAAGAAGTTCAATGACAAAACAGAAAACATAACAGCTGACAGAAAAAAAGGCTATTCTGTGAGTGTCAGGATCTCTTTTAGATGATCTGTCACAATGCTCCAGTTTTCTTTCATCACTGAAACCACCAACATTGAAGGATTTCAAGATGCCTGTCCCCTGCCTGCTGCCAATGCCATACTAAGTTCAAGTACTCCAAAAGTTTCTAATTCATACTTTCAGTCAGAGAGTGGCATGACATTGCAGTGACAGTTGATGACAGCTTTACATTAACCTTAATCACACAATTAATGAAAGCTTTTCCAGATTTTTTTCTGAAAATCATTCGGAGAGGCTCTTCATTACAGCAGTTTCCAAAATGAGAAAACCGCTGAAGCTATGTGGATAGCCAAGTCCAGATGCTTTCAACTCAATTTTACTAATGTAAGATTTTTCAACAACTACGCTTTTAAATCTAAACATTAACAGATCTCTATGAATAAAGTATAAAGTGCAAAAGCACTTTTCGACTAACATTTGTATTTAGTATGAAGCAAATGAATAAAAAAATTGCCATAAATATTGTTTTGTAGCTAGTTTAACAGCGAATGAAACAGGTTATATTTGTGAAGAATTATATTTTAAGTCACATACATTATATGTTCATGCACGAGTTGTAGACAGATGTCAGAAACAGTACCTCTATCAGGATCAGTAAGCTGGAAAATGTTTGGATGTTCGGGATTGTCTGGCAGAACCACCATCCAACCTGTGAGCGTGATCTTTTTACATGGCCTGGATTTATACTTAAGACAAAAAGCCACAATTACAAAGAGGTTAAGTCAAAAAGTTAAGTAAACTTCATTTAAGTTTGAATTTAAAAGACTGCCGGAATTTCTCTTAACTTCATAAACGACATGTTTTTAAAGCTGAAGTGTGTAAATTAAATAATGACTTTTCAAATTTTCCATAGTCCCTCCCCAAATGAATTCAATTAGTTTGGTTAAAATATTGAAATAGTTTTGATTAGCATAATAATAGGCTACACTTTTTATTTTTTAATTATTATTTTTATTGTAATTTTAAGTTTGAATAATAGCTTATATGGCACTTCATAAGAAAAGCTCTTTGTTTTCACATCGAATTGAGAGAATAATTAATCACTTACATGTCTTCGCTCATTTGCTCTTAGAGCTTTAGAACCAAAATAGATGAGAATGGAGCCAGACAGGACAATCCAGTAGCGCTTCCAGGATGAGAGCTGATGTGAAGAAAATAAAAGTGCAGATCAGCTTAAGAGATGGACTAAATGCTCTTCTCTAAGAACTCAAACAGACATGACTATTTTATGGACTGTATAACCATCTTTATTTCTTTATTAATTTACTAACAACCGGGGCAGTCACATTGAAATTTAGACCTCTAACAACGAAGACCTGGCCAAGACAGGCAGCAGTACAAATGTCAGACGTACAAAAAAATTCGCGATGATTACACATTTAGTTAAAACATTTATACTAAAAACATGGATTCTGCTATTTATAATGGATATAACAGCATGTAAGCCACATAATTGATAACTAATGAACATAACTGATAAGAAAAAACTAAGAAGAACGTCTTTTACAATTAAACTTAGTCAGAGTCACCTGAGCCAGAAAAGTTGATTAGATTTTTATTGTGTTTGAAAGAAGTCAATTGTAATATTTATAATAACAGTTACATTTGTCACTGTTTATTTTGAATATATTTTAAAGTGTGATTATTTCTGTTATGGTAAAGCTGAATTTTCAGCATCATTACTCCAGTCTTCAGTGTCACATGATCCTTCAGAAATCATTCTAATATGCTAATTTGCTGCTTAAGATTTAAGATTCATTATTATCAATGTTGAAAGCTGCTTCATATTTTTGTGGAAACCGTAAAACATCTTTTCAGGATTCTTTAAATAGAATTTTCAAAAGAACAGCATTTATTTGAAATAGAAATCTTTGCCAAGACAGGCAGCAGTACAAATGTCAGACGTGCAAAAAAATTCGCAATGATTACACATTTAGTTAAAACATTTATACTAAAAACATGGATTCTGCTATTTATAATGGATATAACAGCATGTAAGCCACATAATTGATAACTAATGAACATAACTGATAAGAAAAAACTAAGAAGAACGTCTTTTACAATTAAACTTAGTCAGAGTCACCTGAGCCAGAAAAGTTGATTAGATTTTTATTGTGTTTGAAAGAAGTCAATTGTAATATTTATAATAACAGTTACATTTGTCACTGTTTATTTTGAATATATTTTAAAGTGTGATTATTTCTGTTATGGTAAAGCTGAATTTTCAGCATCATTACTCCAGTCTTCAGTGTCACATGATCCTTCAGAAATCATTCTAATATGCTAATTTGCTGCTTAAGATTTAAGATTCATTATTATCAATGTTGAAAGCTGCTTCATATTTTTGTGGAAACCGTAAAACATCTTTTCAGGATTCTTTAAATAGAATTTTCAAAAGAACAGCATTTATTTGAAATAGAAATCTTTTCTAACAATGTAAAACTCTTTAGTGGTCCATTTAATGCACCCTTACTGAATCAAAATATCAAGTTATGTACTTTGCAAGTACTTGTGTCTTGGCTTGTTGACGTAAAACCCTTTTCCCCTCAGTTCATCAGAACTTTCAGGACTGGTATAATCACCACATCCTTAACATTTAACCCATTAGTGTCCAGTTTTCTGGCACATAAAAAACTGAAACAACAAAGGACAAATAAGAACAACAACAAAATCCTTACTTGGAATTTCCAAGGCAGAGTGATTCAGAGATGCAATCAAAGACTGTAATTAAACTTGATTACTTGTTTCAGACTCAATGCCCACCTTTTTTTTATATATATATATTTCTTCACACGTTTAGTAAGTACGTTTCCATGTTTGGAAAACATTCAATGTAATTATAAAAGTCATTTGGGCAAGACCTTTCACCTCTGTACATGGGAGGCATGTTCATTAAGTAACTGTCACAGTACAGTATACTTGAATGTTTGATAAGGTTAAAATCTCTCAAATTCACATTAAGTAGTAGTAGGTAAAAGCCTCAAACAAACCACAAACATATCTAGATAAAATCTACAATACATTTCATGTTTAAACTGACAATAAACTTACCATTATACAAATGAGTGACATACAAAGCCATATCTAATCTAGTGAATTCATCCAAGTTAATTTATTGATCATAATTGGGCTACCTGGTAAAATTAGAGAGCCATGTTCAGCATTTGAAATTTTACAGGTAAATTTGACTGTGCACTTACAGTGGGTTTTTTACCCTCCTTCATCAGTGTCTTTCTTCGCAGGGGCCCTTCAATGGTTATACTGCTCAGAGAACTGCATTCATAGCTGGAAACTGCCCCTGGGGTGCTGATAAGGAAGTAAGACAATCATTATTTCCTCAAATTATAACAAACACAGAAATCAACATGTCCCACAGCAGAACAGCTCAAGTATGTGATGAGGATATATACGGTAAATCAAGAAGGAAACAAATATAGGAAGATCAAGATAGGAAAATAAATATAATTGTACACAAGAAAGACCCATTTCTTAAAATAACTGTTTAAAGAAGACAAAAACATTAAATTCAGTTATGTGTTTTATGGACACACAGGTAACAGCTATATTCCTACCCATAAATATAACTTCTACTTCTGGGAGAGTTACAGATTGGGACTCGCCAGTTTGGACCAAGTGTCGCATACATACGGCCTCTGAAAGTGAAATGGAAGAGGAATGTGTTTTTCATTTGTATTAAGTATGTATATACTAAATGCAATTATTCTATTCTATTCTTATTCTATTCTAATTTATAATAATGATGTAGAATTTGCCTTACCTCTCAACGGTACTTGATAATTCATCACTTAAAGAGCTCTCTCTACTGCCTGCAGTTGGACAGAGAAAAGATGAAGCTCAAGACAAAACAAAATCACTTTCATTCTCTCAAAAAAAAAAATGAATTAAAGGTGGTAGCATAAATATTCAATGGTGAAGATGACAAGTCTATTTAAAAATAAAACAATGTGGAGTTTGCAAAAGGCAATAACCCTCTGAAATAACAAAAGCTTGAACACTACTGTCATCTAGTGGTGAAAAATCATAAATACAAACACAGTTCCAACACAGCAGTCATATTTTATGCTGGTAAGAGAACACCTTTAAATTAGGACACAGATACCCTAACACACTAATCTTGGGTTAGTGGGACAAAGACTGAGATATGAGAGTGTGTACAATAGGAATAAACTGCAGTACCAAGTGAGACGCCGTTGGTAAATACTGAATCATGTGTGTGGTTTCTGACAGGACTGTGAGACTCTAAGAAGCTGTCGTCCAGTAGGTGTCGAGCCTTTTCTTTTGCAGGGAATGTCGCACTTTTACTCTCCACCACACCAAACTGACACATCATACTAAGAAGAGATGACAGAATTGAAACACAAAGACAGCCAGTCCGATTAGGCAATGTATTCCCTTGTGAAAAAGAAGTGCACTTAGTTGTATTGAACATTCACTTGTAGTGTACTTCAGATGTTGAACGTATATTTGTACTTGCAGATAATATAATATTAATTAAATAAAAGGCCACTTAAGTGTACCTAAAGAGAGTACACTTTCATGACTGTTTCTTAATGCACAAAGTGTACTTTGTAATAATATCAAATTAAAAGTTTTACCTTAAAGGGGTCGTATGACATTGCTAAAAAGATCATTATTTTGTGCATTTGGTGTAATGAAATGGGTTTATGCCGTTTAAGGTTAAAAAAACACATTATTTTCCACATACTGTATACATTATTTTTGCTCCTCTATGCCCCGCCTTTCTGAAACACGTCTATTTTTACAAAGCTCATCGTTCTGAAAAGCGCGGTGTACGCTGATTGTCCAGCTATCCAGTGCGTTGTGATTGGCCGAATACCTCAAGCGTGTGACTGAAATGTTACGCCCCTTACCATACTGTGATGCGGTGTCCCGGCCCGACGAGACAAAACCAATAAAACCCATTACAAACTAGGCATTTGTTGCATCCAGTGGGGACATAATTACTGATTATAATGACTTATACTGTCTTTTTACGCGTTGCGTTGCGTATCTACAAAACAAAAAACCATGTCTGCATTTGTGATTGAAGAAACGACAAACAACAAGCGCTCCTCTACACTGCTCAAAACTTGCGTTTGAATCATCAGTGGCAAATTCTTTAAATATGAAAACGTACTTACAGTCTGTGAGTCAGAGGCGCCAGACTGTCCTTGCAAAGTTGGAATTGCCCCACTTTATAGAAACAGCCTTTGTGAACAGATGGCATTGTAGGCTACTCTCCCAGGTCCAGGAAACAGTCCTCCGTAAAATGCGCTGGACACATCTGAATATTTGGGTTGAGCTGTTCTGGAACAGTGTTGTAAATACAACTTAACCACTGATTTCTTTCCGTGTCCTCTTTTGGAAGGCCAAACAAAGTAGTTTCGCTTTCACAACGAAAAACACAGCGGCCTACCGTGTGCGAAAGCCCCGGCTTAGCCTGAGCTGAAGCCGGGCAAGAGTGAGCTGAGGCGGCGGGGTCGAGAACGGCGGTCCCGGC